CCCATGGGCCGCTCATGGGGATGCCCATGGGTGGGCCATGAAGTGCCCATGGGTGACCCATGGGTGCCCCATGGGCGGTTTAAGAAAACGGTCAGTAGTGTGGATGTTGTGCACGTAACCCCAAGAGTTTGTGCGTACGCCCTTTCTTCACGAGGGCCGGATTCCGATCCCAAGCATCCTTGTTTTCGTTCTCTATTTTTCTTCAATTATCTTGGAGTGTACCCCCACGCTTTCACGGTTCTTTTTTTTTCCTATTATAGGCCGTCTTGGTCGTGGGGATCACGGGAACGTATATTTGTTGTACATTTTAGTAGCCAAAAGGTTTGGCCAACCATTCAAGTATCCTGGCCAAACCGTATTTCCCTGTAATTTTGCCCACGATAGGCGGCCCACTGGTAGGCCCAGCATGTTCACCATGGTGGGCTGTGCCCACGATGCGTTGCACATATTGACATGTCCGTGGACATGTCCGTCGACAGTTCAAGGAAATGCCCACGGACAACGTCCATGAACATCCACGGACGTCCATGGACGTGTCCATGAAACAGCTGCAACCTAACGCAAACGGTGCAGCAACCTAGCTTATTCACCGTGCAGCAACCAAGCGTTGCCGCGGCCTGCCGCGGCCTAGTTGCCGCGGCCTAGGCTTGCTTGGCACAGTGACCTAGCACTTTCCAATGCCGGTCGCCCCGGTGGTCTATTTGGCTTCCTCAAAACCTTCTAGAGGTCAGGTCAGGGGTTCGAATCCCGGCGTAGGCGAGCTGTTCTTGCAAAGCAAGTTTTTCTCTCGCATCCGCTCCTGCCCTAGACTAGACTAGTCTAGTGGATAGCGCTACTTAGTTCGTGTGTACATAGAGGCAAGAGAGTGCTGAACTCTTCTCGCATTAAAATCGAAGGCGGAGTACCGCAGGAGGGGAGGGTAGAGAGGGGCTCCTCTGTGTGACCACGGGTTGGAGCAAAACGGCACTCGTGCTGGGAGCGCTGATTTGAAGTGAAGACAGAAAAAATATATAATGCCATAGGTTTGGCTTGGGTCGGTTGGGTTGGGGTTAGGGATGCTTACCGTAACTGACACAAGATAACACACGCCGGTGATAACATTTCTGAGTTTAAAAACATTTATGACCGGTGTGGTATCCTGTGGGTGTGTGGTATCTTGTGTATCCCGGGTGATAAAGTGCAGCTCGCAGGGAGCTTTAAGGGGGTGTGATAAACCGGGGGGGGTGACAGCACGTCGGACCACCCACAGGGTATGTTTGGGGGTGTGATAAATGAGGGGTGTGATAAAAAGGGGGTGTGATAGCACGTCGGACCACCCACAGGGTGTGTTTGGGGGTGTGATAAATGAGGGGGGCGATAAAAAGGGGGTGTGATAGCACGTCCAACACCCACGTGTGATGGTAAATGAAGGGGTTTGTTATACTGCCCCGCACATACCATGGTACGCCACCTACCGTAATGTAATACTGCGAGATGTGGTAAACAGACGGGGCTCAACGGAGGTGACGAAACGCTTGAGCGCCTGACCTCGACGATGTGTTACCCGCTCAACGCCAAAGAAAGTTTCAAACAAAAACGGACTTGAATGGAGCAGAAAAAAACGAAAAAAAAATGTTAGGATCGAGGGCGCCCGCGCCCCGCGGCGCTGCGGCAAGTAAGGTGTCGCCTGGGAGCTAGGTATACGTTATGACCCAGGAACGGCGGGGACAAGAACCAAAAATGATAACGGGTCCATCTACCAAGCAGCATCCGTGTTTCTATCATGATTGCAGGATCAAAAACTAAAAACACAAAAATCAAAGGTACCTCGCCCGATATATTGCCAGGCGGTCGCCACAGAGTGGCCATTCCGTCCTACCCCCTCACAAACAAGTACCTAGTAGGCCGCTGCTACCTACCTTGCTACGTCACCACGACCAAAAAAAATCAAGACCACTAACCACTACCGCAAACAACACTACGTTGCACTCGACGCGTTGAAGAAAACACACGACGAAGGAAGAGAAACGCACGCCAGGAGAAATGCGAGGGAACATGAGAAGGACACCACAAGCCATTTCTCAACACCAGCATCGCCGCCGATGCCTCACGGCTCCTCGTCCTCGCCGTCGCTGATGTCCACCACCACCACGCCCGTGTCGTCGTCATCGTCGATCTCCAACACCTCCAGCAAGTTGCCGCCTCCCGACGACGAGTCAGCCTTGTCCGCACCGGCCGATGGCGCGTCGAGGGGCTCCCCCTGGGCGTTGGAGTTGAGCTCCTTGTTGGCCCAGGCCTCGTCTTCCGACCCGTCGAAGGGAAGCAGCAGGCCAGCCTNCCACGCCCGTGTCGTCGTCATCGTCGATCTCCAACACCTCCAGCAAGTTGCCGCCTCCCGACGACGAGTCAGCCTTGTCCGCACCGGCCGATGGCGCGTCGAAGGGCTCCGCCTGGGCGTTGGAGTTGAGCTCCTTGTTGGCCCAGGCCTCGTCTTCCGACTCGTCGAAGGGAAGCAGCAGGCCAGCCTTCCTGCAGCTCGCGCGGACTTCATCCGCGGTCAAGGCGTCCCACGACTTCTTGACCCACTGTGCGACTAACCCCCGCGAAGGGGCCTCCGGGTAGCCGTGGTCGCCGCGTTTGACGTGAGGGGAAGCCATGTGGTCGTCGTAGAGCCTGGACATGTTTGCCTTGAAGATCTTGTTGACGAGGCCATCGCACGGCTGGAGCTTGGGAGTCAGGCCTCCCGGGATGAAAAACAGCGTCGTGTTGGACTCCGCCATCGCCTTGGTAAACGCGTCCGTCTTGTGGACGGTGTTGTCGTCCCACGCCACCAGCGTGTCAGGCTGACGGTAGCCGCCCAGGCGACCCTGCCGCCCCGGGCACTGGTTCCACACCTGAGGCAGCCAGACCTCGTTGAACACCCGCTGGGAGTGCCATGCCTTCGGGTCCACGGCGTAGACGACACCTCGAGGGTATGCGTAGCCCTTCTTGTCCTTGTAGTCCTTGAACTCGCGCTCGATGCTGTTGGCGGCAGGGGCCTTCCCCTTCGGCGTGGGCTGGCCCTTGAAGATGACGAGGGGCGGCAGCTTGCTGCCGTCGGCGAACACCGTCAGGACCGAAGTGATGCGCATCTTCTCCTTGCCGCCGGTTTTGACGCCAACCTCCTTGTCGCCGGTGCGCTGCGGGATTCCATAGAGCAGCGAAAAGCGACGTCAACGTCGGGTATGCAGAAACGATTTTTCATGTCAAGCTTGAAAGTGAGAGCAGCGGTTGTAAAAAAATATAACCAAAATCAGCGGAGGACAGAACGCCCAAGAAAAGACGGAAACTACACATGTACATATATATCGTACACTCAAACTAGGTACGTACATGTATAGAGGCCAAGATAGGGATCGCTATATCGAACGAAGCATGAGGAAAAACTAGGGCAAAAAAGAAACAACCAGGCACTCACGTCCACAGTGTTTTTCCCCGGGTTCTCCATCCACGTAGGAGTCTCATCCACATCCATAATGGCGATCTGCGCCAAGGCGAACTTGGGACTCGACCCCGACGGAACTCCAGCGCCACTCCCACCCCCGCTGCCGCTCGCGCTGCCTCCCGCCACTGCCCCTAGGCATTCGACTCCGTCCGCAAGCTCGAGCGCGGAAGGGACGTCGTACTTCAGCCTCCTCCACTCCTTGATCGCNACTGCCCCCAGGCATTCGACTCCGTCCGCAAGCTCGAGCGCGGAAGGGACGTCGTACTTCAGCCTCCTCCACTCCTTAATCGCCTGCATGGCGATCACGGGCCAGCCGGTAGGACGTTTCTGGCCTTGACGGGTGACGGCTCGCACAGAAAAGCTGTAGACCCTGACAAACCTTCTGCACCACGCGGTCTTCTTGCGGGTGTACCGCAGGTTGCCCTCGATGTCGGAAGGCGGCGACCTCTCCCCGAAGAAGTTCGGGTTGAGTTCCGTGGCCTTGTTCTTGATCATCCTCGTCGAGACACGGGCGGAGATGCCGTCAGAACGCAGATCATTGATCCAGTCCACGACCTCGCGTTCGGCGTCCGTGTGCGTCCTAGTCCGTCCGACGTTCAGCGACATGCGGTGCTTGGCTTTCTTCCTGCCCTTCACTCGCGAGTACTTGGTCTCCTCCGCAAGCGCGGCTTCATACTTGTCGACGTCCTCGACCCACGCCGCCAACGTGACCTTGTCGAGAATCTTGAGGATCCTGCTGGCGTATGTTACGCCAACAGTCCCGCCCGGTCCTTGCGCCCCCTTGAGCTTTCTCTGCGAGTACCTCACGGCATTCACCTTGAACTGCAAGGTGTAGCGCTTCCTTTGGGTTCCACCACCATGGTCGGGAATCGGGAAGTCCGGCGGCTCCAGCTCCAGCCGCCCTTTCTTCCTCTTGCCCTTGTTCTGTGCCGGCGTACNGCCGCTGCTCCTGCGCTTCCTGATCCTGGAGCTGGTGCCGGTGCTGGAGCTGGCGCCGATGCCGGAGCTGGAGCAGGTGCTGCTCCTGATGGCGGCGTTCCGGGCGTGGAGCCCGCCCTGCAAAAGACAAGAGTAGACATCATGTGCGGAATGGAACGAAGCGGTCAATGTTTGAACGCACGAAAACATGTGTCGTGNTCCACCACCATGGTCGGGAATCGGGAAGTCCGGCGGCTCCAGCTCCAGCCGCCCTTTCTTCCTCTTGCTCTTGTTCTGTGCCGGCGTACCGAAGAGAACGCCACAGAGCCCATATCCCCACTCTGTTTCTCCCGGAAACATCATGTTGCCGGATTTGCCATCGTTGGCCACCGGAGCTTCTGACGCTGGTGCTGGTGTGGGTGTTGCTGCTGCCGCTGCTGGTGTTGCTGCTGCCGCTGCTCCTGCGCTTCCTGATCCTGGAGCTGGTGCCGGTGCTGGAGCTGGCGCCGATGCTGGAGCTGGCGCCGGTGCTGCTCCTGATGGCGGCGCTCCGGGCGTGGAGCCCGCCCTANAACGAAGCGGTCAATGTTTGAACGCACGAAAACATGTGTCGTGTGGGTAGAAACCAAAGATTCCTTTCATTAAGTGCTGGCTGACTTTTTTAGTCGAAAGGACACCGTTTCCGATTCTCCAAATACCATTTGCGGTTGAAAGTACCGTGAGGGTGAACAAAAAATTGCAAAACAGGCACGGATGCACCATCTAGGTACCGATAAATCAGCGGCAACAATGCTGCGATAATTACAATTGTTATAACTTTACCATTCGTGGGTGAATTAAACACATGTGCAAAGCAGAGAACAACAACTGGAAAATTCCTCAGGTATGCCAGCTGCAAACAAAGCTGCGGTATTTCCGCAACACAAAACGCCATGCAGGAACAAAAATCATATATGCCTAGGTACACACACATACAACAACGTGTTGGCCGCGGGAATGTGTGGCGCACAACAAGCTACGCACAAAACAACTTCAAAAATGTGACCGCGAACGTGTGGCTCAAAAACCAATGCCAAAAAATTACACGAACGCGGGAGTCTGCGGGTGGCGCAGAAGCCAACCCACAATTGCACATTTCGAGACCACACGCGGACCGATACCACTGCTGTACGCCAAACCCACGAAGCACACACACACAATTCTCACTTGGATCGTTCTTCCGTGCCGAATGAAGTGCTTGACTCTGATCGATAATTCGGGTGACCCAGTTCTATGTGCTTGGAGTTTAGAGCGGGTGGCCCATGATGGGGCGTGGATGGGTAAAAACGTGTTGGGAAACGTGTTGTATCCGTGTTGTATTAATCGGGGGCGTGCTTGAGCTCGTCATTCCATCACGGCATCAAGTCACGCATAACGCTCAAACACCCAAAACGAATCTTCATGAATCTACACCAACCACACTCCCAAGGAAAACATAAAGAAACTTCTTGTTCCTCTGTAGTTGGTCACTGCAATACCCGCATATGTATATGCAGTATACCACCCGTATGCTGTGCTACGAGTATATCGAATAGCCCCCCTGCTCGTATGCATCGTCATGCTCCGGGAAAATATCATAGTCATCCTTCTCATACCAGTTCATCCCAAAACACAATCAAAACCAAGAAAACGAAAATACTTCAGACACGACAAAAGTATCCAAATAGCATACCAACACACGCCAATCACTCTCGCTCTCTTCTGAAAATTCTCAACTCAAACCCTTTTCATCCAGAAAAATATAACGAACGCCGTTCAAAGACGCCTTTCCTTTTACCGCCAATTCGTCACAATATCTCGGTGCGTCTCTAAATCCGCCAAGCTAGATATCCTACCATTAGCAAGATGTATGCAATCCTAAGACATATTATTCCATTCATCCACCAAGCCTTCGTCCGCAGGTAAAACGCGAAGAAGTATTTTCTCCCTGAAATACTCAAAATATATCATTAATGTTCGGTGAAGAAATGTCAGCAACGCCATTTCGTTTGAAAGAATATAACGTGCCCCCCTGCTCCGAGGATCCGCCCCCCTGCTTTGTGAAGGGGTCGGAGTCAAGCCGAAAAACAATACGAGAGGTGCCGAAAATCATAACAGTACTTCTGATCCTCTCATCCACACTTCAATCAGATCTGAAAAACCAAACCCAAGCTCAAATCAAACAAAACAAACGCCAAATCTCAAACTAACTCAAATTCAAGATGAACCTCAATGCGCCTACTTTTCCAGCCATAAACCCCAGCGCATTGGACCACTGCCCCTGCCATTGTTTCTCCCCTGCGGATTTTCGCTCGCCTCCGCCGCGGTCGCCTTCTGTGCTCTTCGTCCGGCTGGCCGCGGCTGGAGCATCGTCAGCAAATCGTCCGCCTTCGTTGGGGGAGACCACAATTGTCGCTCCAGAAGGATTGACTCGGCAGCGGTGGAGGGCAGGTCGCGTATGTATTCGAAAGGGAAGATGGTGGCACAATCAGTTCCTTATAAAACAGCACTCCTGAGGAGAATCACATTCCACAACACTCCCCCCGGTTCTGCACAGGGGTGACTGCTGCACCAAAACAAAATAAAATACAGTTGGACATCCAAAATTTCTCTTCTGCTCACGCCGTGAAACTTCAAAGTTCGTGTTGTGCCACTGAAATGGTCTTGAGTGATCTCTTCGGAGGAACGCATTTGGTGGATCTTGCTCCGCGTCATGCTGAGTACTGCCTCTTTTTGCTGTCCTCTACGATCTAGTCGGGAATTTAGTTTCTGGGTCAACCTCGCTTCTTGGCTGAGTGATGCCTCGGACTATTTTTCTCTGCGATCTAGTCGGAAAACGTCAGTCTTGGGTCAAGTCTCGCTTTTCGCCGAGGTCCTGCCACGCATATTGCTGTTCTCTCCAGCGAAATTCTACCCAACATCTCCTACAAACTTGCCATGAAATCCTACGTGCTTGCGTCAAGAATTCTGACTGTCCTTCAAATGCGTAATGATGTCCACGCTTTGCTGTTGTGTCGGTGGTGACGTGGTAGTCCCACAAAGTTACGCATCAATCTTTTTTTTTATTTTTTTTACCGTACTGCTTTTGGTGTGATAGAAGCCCCTCATACTCTTTTCGTTGCACGATTGGCATCTAAACTCTTGGAAGCATAACATCCCCTCATACGTGCTGTTGGTGGCTTGATAACCCCTCAAACGATCAGTTATCTCGTTCGTGACAATCGTACTCTCTCTTTCATCCCAACATCACACATTTCGCAGATTTCCGAACACAGGAAACGGTTCAGACACAAGACAAAAAACTTTTGGAACACAAAACAAGGCCATATTCGTCTTCGGACAGAGGACATAATCAGTTCATCACGTGCCTGAGCGGGTCTGGGACCCTAGTAGCAGAAGTGGTGCTGCTGTAATGCGCTGAGCCGCCCCTCGGGGGCTCGCGCAATGGTCAGGGGGGTGTCGTCCGCGGGCGTGGTCGATGGTTCTAGGCGCGCTCCGTGCTGCTGGCCTACCTCGTACTCTTCGCTCTCTCGCATGGCTTTTATCTAACCCTCTCCTGCTTTCACCTCGCAGCTGACGTCCGGACTCCTGTTGACTTCTTCAGCTTCAAACCGCGCGCTCTTGTCGACGCTGCGGGAGCTATCTTGTTCTTAGTTCCTGGCGTCCTCCGCTGCTTGGCGGGCCTCCGCTGCTTGGCGGGCCTCATCTTCGCGCCTGGTAGCCATCTTGACCCTGCTCTCGATCGACGCAAAGCGATACTCCTAAAAAATCAAGCATGACCGCGAATCTCGTAGACGACGTGTCATATGCTAGCTTGATCGATAATTCGGGCGACCCAGTTCTATGTGCTTGGAGTTTAGAGCGGGTGGCCCATGACGGGGCGTGGATGGGTAAAAACGTGTTGGGAAACGTGTTGNCTCCACCACCAGCTGAGAGGCTTGGCTGGTGGCGCGTGTTGACTCCTCTGCGGTACTCGTACGTGCAGCTGAGAGCGAGTCAGCAACTGGCTGCTGGTGAGGCGAGGCGGTGGCTGTCATGTTGGCGCCTGTTGCAGTGCCAGCTGCTGCTGCTGTCGTTAGATCAACAGCAGCAGCAGCAGCAGCAGCAGCAGCAGCAGCAGCAGCAGCAGCAGCAGCAGCAGCAGGAGGACCCGAAGCAAGAGGCGCTTGCGTAGAGGAAGGTTGCTTGGTTTCAAAGAACGAGGTGATCTGCGACGCCTGTGCTGCTGCGGTCGAAGCAGCTGCGGAGGTACTTGCGGCGGCAGTCTGCTCTTCTTCCCGCACGTTCATGTTGTTGGAGGTCTCCATGCGGGGTGTTTTCCCCGCACACGGAGGGTGTGTTTTGTGTGATGCCCAAGGGCAGATGCTGCCATCCCGGTGGTAAAAAAGGAGGGGCCCCGTGAATACATGCGGCGTAACCTGATTTATCACCGGGGTGTGTTATCTTGTGTATCCCGGGTGATAAATCGATGGTTTGCCAGAAACGCCCAAAATTATCACCGGGGTGTCGTATTCTGTGGGGGGGGTGTTATCTTATGCCAGGTGGCTTATCTTGTGTCACTTGCGGTATGCAGAACCTTTCCAGAACCCATTTTGAAATCGGCACGGCTATTTGGGACAACGTTGTCCCAAAATTTTATTTGGGACAACACGTCTAACTCGGCGTAGAAAGCTCGGATCGACCTCAAACCAAGTTTGTTGTAATCCTACTGGACACAGCTTTCNCCGTATTCTGTGGGGGGGGTGTTATCTCATGTCAGGTGGCTTATCTTGTTTTTGTTATTGTTCGATACGGTGTCGGGAGTGCTGAGGGGGGAGGGCTTGGCCCTTGTGGTTG